ATCAAAGGTGAAAAACACTTTAAACCCCATATCCAGCTGGCAACGCAGCTTGTTCCTCGTACCACCAGCGTGACTCATTCCTCGTGGGTCGCGCTTTTGTTGAGTCAGATAATGGTCTCCTCCCTGGTGACTAAACTGTTGAATTTTCTAGCGTGTAAGAGATGTCGCGCATGTGTGATTCACTCTCCCATCTCTGTAATTCTTGACAACAGACGCCTTCAGTACAGACATCAAAGGACAGTCTATCAGAAAACATAAACATCTAGGGTGAGATGTACTTTTTAGCAGACAGGCCTGAAATGTTTGATGTGTCTCAATGTCGTATTGATAGGATTCTTAACTGTTGAGTAATGTAATAATTCCTGGAACTGATTAAAATACATTGAAGCATTTTGCTGAACGCAGTTGAGGACTCCCATAGGATTTGGCCAAGCTCGATTTCAGTGGCTGGCTATGATTCAAATGAAACCAAAATGTTTCAAAAATCTCTAATTTCATTAGGTTTTTCAGGAACACGGTTTTGGTGGAGTTCCATTAATCACAGCCGGCACTGTAAGAGCACCATCAGATAAATCAAGGTGAAGGCTCGCTTTTGGTTCAATGATTATTCCATGATGAATTTCATAGGTCTCTGTTAATCTGTTCCATCAAGTAATCATACTTTGGATCAATATTCCAGTGGGGTCTCTTTTGAAGTGATTTGTATAAACTATTTGGATGTCTTTATGAATTTAGCAGTCATGTTGAGAGTTGCTTGTTCCCGCTTCCGAGTGAGCAATCATGCACTATGATTCAGGCAGAGCATCTGCCACGGCGCCAATATCAACAGTGGAGCTGATGCAGGGGTGACCTGTGGTTGCCTCCTTGCCCTAGGTCTGGGCTCGCGGAGGGGTCACGCAGCCGCTCTTGACCCTCCTCCACTATTAATCCTATCATCTTCTGGTTTCGGTTGTGGCAATGTGTGTGGTGTGTTGTGGTGTGTTGTGTGTGTATGTGTGTGTGGTGGTGCATGTGTGTTGTGTGGTTGGTGTATGTGTGGTATTGTCGTGTGTGCTTGTGTGGATGGATGGTCCGGTGTGTGTGCTTGTGTGTGTCTGTGTCTTGTGTTCTCTCTCTCTTCCTGCGAGAGCTGTCTAATAACAGTAGGTGTATGTTGATCGCGTGGTTCATATGCTATCATATTCTCACTGCTAGGATTAAACCGCACGATGAAGCACAGGGCTGCTCCAAAACGGCGAGTAGTAACTTTTGTGTCTAATGCTTTAGTGTATATATTTGAGGCCAAAATCGACATTCTTAGGGTTGCATCACATTTACCTTCACAGTGGCAACCTCCACTGCCTGACACTAGAGTCAGGTTGTCATGCTAAGTAGTGGTAAGCGTTAATGTAGCCATCAAGGTCTCTAGCCTCAAAGCAGAGATGAAGAGTGGGCTCCCAGATGGTCTGTTAAGCCACTGTGCTTATTTCTAAACGCGTACGTTCCGAAAGATTCTTTTTTTAATTTCTGGTACAGATTTCAATCTGGTTGATCACGGCAGCAAGGTATACCTACACACCCACAGCACACACACACAGAGAGAGGAGCGCGCGTCAGCATTTTAACAGGATTTTTCTCTCTTTTGCTCCCAGCCCATTCATCTCAGCACTTTTACTAAGATTGTTTACTCAAAAACACTCACTCACACACGACCAACTGGAGCAATATATTGTGAATATATTGGATGGTTCAAGCAGCTATGAGCTGCTAATATACTTTGCAAGAGATTTGACTTGAAAGCGATATAAAAAACATGATTGCATTTCGTTATTATATAACATTTAGACAACCTAAGCAGCTATATAGACTCTGAATATGAAATTAGGCCATATTAACGACTCACCCCTAAACA